GTTTTTCAAATATTTAATACCCTTTCCCATGTTAATTTTGTTGAGTTTGCTCCTTTATCTTGACCATGCAATATGTAACCGATATGTCAACTCCTGTGATTATATTCATTCCTATTACCAGCAGCTAAAAAAATAATGACCATTAGAACAATGAATTATCTCCTTTAGTATCGCATGAGGTGGCCCACTCTCGCCAATTGTTTTAGTTCTGCACTGAACTGGTTCTAGCGGTGCCGCTAATGTTCCGAATCACATTATAATTCATACCTCCACAGGATGAATTGAAAATGGCCCTAAAATTACGTAAACCGCTGTACAGGGCTCAAAAGCCCGATCAACAAACCAATGTGTAGCTTCGTTATATACGTAAATAAAAAATGCGACGGGAGACTGGGAAGAAAAGGATCGATAACTGGAGTGTGTTATGGCCGTGGTCTGGACCTAGCTAGTCTCTTCGTGAAAAATCAAAAAAAAAAAAGAAAAGAAACAACAACACTGATCTACTTTACTTTCATTTCTGTACGTTTCAGTGAGTAGAGATATCCTTTAAAAGGAAACCAGTTGACACCATTAGCATATGAGGAGTGACTTCCGTTGAGATACAACCCGTTTAGATTGGAATCAAGACAGTAACTGTACCACCAGGCGCCTTGGTACTTCTGAGCACAGCTGCCGTCCGGTTTTACGTCGTTATCACTATCTCTCGTGGAGAACTGCATATCACTACAAAAAGTTAATACCACAAAATACGGTTTGTAGATGTTATGATTAAATTGAATGAATATTAGATAGAATTTGAGCTTTTGGTACACTAGTTCAACATCTCATAAGCCAAAATCGGAAATGGCAGATACAAAAAGGAAAAATAAATAGAAAATGAATGAATTGAGAATATTTTTAGGATTCCATCTCTTTACTCGCACAAGTCTCGAAAAGAATAGATATAAAAATATTTGCCTGCAAATTATCAGACATTTTACTTTCAACAACCCCATTCCTCATTTCTAAACTACTGTTTATAATACCTGTGTTCATTCATACCGTCTCCAGCTGTCCCACTGTATCCACCAATTACAATTCGGTATTTATCTGTCTGGTCCGCCACCTTAAATGTCGCGTACTCAGCGTATGTGATGTTACCTTCGAAGTCCTCCAGGTCAACTCTCAAAGAAACGTTACCAGCGGCTGTCAAACGATGAAGATTGTCATTTCCAAGCCAAAACTCGCCGTGTAAATCTCCGAAGCCATTTTTGTAGGACGACCAATCTCGATAGAAATCAACAGAGCCGTTTAAACGTCTCTGAAAAACAGTCCAAGCTCCATCGTTCGTGGTCATGTCACACAACACTTGCATGGCATTTCCGCCATCTGGATTAATAGTGTACACACCGCTAGATGTGACACCATCTTGATAAAGTAGAGCACAACTTTTGGGTTCTCCTGGTTGACGAAAAATTTGATTTGAATCGTACGCTTGGACTATAGTAAAAGTAATTTATTTTTACTTAGTCATGGGGGTAGTGTTTCTCTTGATGATGAATGATTATTACGTTTGGAAAATACCAACAACAACAACAATTACAACAACAAAGGAAATTTATTGAGAGGAGGGGTTGATCAACAAATATAGAAATTGTGTACAGCTAGTGCTCGAGGTGTGAAATTTCTAAGTTCGAGCAGTGAAAGCACTATTGTGCCGGTTTTCTTGGCTTTTTTTCTTTGCATTATTATTGTCATTATTATTTCACTTACTACAGGGCTTTCCCGTGTAACCATGCTTGCAAATGCATCGTGCACTGTTGGTTCGAATGTCTACGATGCAGATTTCGTTTTTGCCGCAATCTGACTTATCTCGTTCGCATACGCTCTGATTGTAAACAACAACAATGATGATAATAATATTAGTGAGAGTAATAAAATTTATAATGATGATGATAATATATCAATGATGCCGACGATTAAATTGATGATGATGATGTCATTATTATTATTAACAATTGTTTATCGAAGTAGATAAGATAAGTAGATAGTGGTGGATATTTAGCGAGCCTTTGAGTGGCCTACGAGGTGAATATCCACCGCTTTCAACGACACAGAGGAGAGTAACTGTTTTAGTTTATACCATACAGATAACAAAAGAATTAGCCAATCTACTACAATACGCTTGGAAACTGAAATCTTTTTACCACAATTAGTAGCAAAGTCGCAATTTGATTGGCCAATTTGTCGATGTCGGCTGCTCGCGTCTATGTGTCACACAATGGCTTTATCAGCTCTCTGACCAATGTAATGACCCATATCTTTGTCGATAAGAGTATAGACCACGCTAGGCTACTCTCGACTTGTTAAATAGCAGCGCCATTGTCAATCTACTAGGTCGTTTTATGTTATGATGAACTGAGATAATCTCTAGCTTTCAATCGGAGAAAAAAAACTTCTTAACTAAACTTTGTGGTTAGTAATGAAAGAGAGTTCTCTATGATTCCCTAATGTTTTGTAAAAATGCTTGAACGAACGTGTCTGCTTCAATTTCGCATTTTTTTTTTATATTTGTCGTTTAAGGAGGCTCCATAGGGTTTTTTGATCGCGCGAGATCTGGGTGTGAACATAGTGGGGGCCTTGAAAGTGACAAAATAACATGGCGGCTCAATACGCCTGAAAAGAGGTCAACCGAAAACAAAACACAATGGGAAAGATTGCTAAAAGGCGACAGACTCGAAAGTTTACGCTTGCTCAGATGTAGATCCTAGCGAAGTTCTATTCCATCGCGTAATGTTTTGCGACAGAGAAATTAGGGATCTTTTGAGCACGATTTATGGCGTTTCCTAAGATGGAATTTCCTAAGATTTGTCGGACCATTAAACATATTTGTGCCCTTCCTAGTGCCTGTTGATAAAACAATTCATAGGACCAAATTTGAGATAGAGAAAGATAACACCAAATTGCAAATAGTGTGGAAACTGCCTTTAATTTGTAACCCTTTTTCTCCAACTTTAAAATGATCGGCAGGACAAATTTCACAATTTATGAATATTTTGAAAGATTTCATCGAATTTGAAGAATTATAACTGGCGAGCGCCTCCCTTCGTGGAGCCTCAGCTTTATCACGAAAATCACTTTGATAAAATTTGCTACAGCAAACGATTGTCCGAACCTTGCTCATCGCCTTTTGATGGCTTTTAGTGACCCTGAAAGGCAAAATCGTAAAACTTTTCTAAACTTTTCAAAAACAATACAATGGCGTGCGCGCCAACATTAAGAAAAATACACTATAGAGCCTCCTTAGATGAATTCTGCAATTTTATCAATTTATTTTCTTTTACCATTAATTGTCTTTTTCTCGAATTTTTTCGTATATCTAGGCGGTAGTCAAAGTCATTTGAAATGCATTGCAAATACCTTTATCCCTCTGTAACTGAAGTCTTTGTTCTCAATGAAGTTGGCCCTAGCTAGCCTCTCAAATCGACCCGAGTCACTGATCTGACACTTCCATCTCTCAGGTTTGTTCTTTTTGCCTCCAAAGTTGTAAGACTTACATCGCTCTTCGTTGACACACTCCAATCTACATGAACTTTCTGATTCCACCTCTATCTCCTTTATCACGCTCCCGTTGAGTTGTCTCCCGTCCATCCTCTCGCCAAAATTAGCGGCTTGAAATCTGGGAAACCTGTTTGAAATGCGACTTGTTGCATAAGCAGTGACACAGATCAAGAATAATATTAGTAGGTGCATGTTTAAGTAGATAGGTAGATAAAGAGGTTCAGTTCCTTAGCCAAAATTGGGATGCCAGGGTTATTATTTAGACTCGTTGTGTATTTCGTTTTTGACTCTGATCCAGCGAAAGACTCCTAATCACAATGCGCTTGGCACCTGGCAATTTTGCCTATTTTTAATTCTACCTTTGTTATTGTAAAAATTATTTGCTGAATTCCCAGCCAGTCAGCACTAGGTGGTTAACATCTGGCGTAATTTTAAACAAATATTATCTCATGTAATCACTTCTACTTTGAAGAGAAAAACAATTAGGATGGAAATAGTTTAGTCTTTGTAACCTACTTGGACCTTTCAGATAGGCTAGACTAGCAGTTCTCTATTTAATATTTAAAAGATCCGTCGGAAGAGGTATCTTTTATCTAAAAAATAGGGCATAAGTGATATTTTGCCAACGGTTTCTTTGTTACTTGTTTTTTAAAGCTTAGTCCTCTCATCAAACTTTTTTTTTTTAACGGGCTTGCGATGAATTGATTGGGAGGCTTTCTTCGCGATTGTGTGAGCTGAACACAAATAATAAGTAGGGTAAGGAAAACATGAATAAAGGGGATAATTTTCTAGAGAAACTGTGGTGTTCATCGCAAAGAGTTTCAAAGCTGACGTTTCGGCGGTAGCCCTTCGTCACGAAACTCTGCCTGTAAGAAATGCGTGACACCCTCACACGAAGACTGCATGTGAACAAGTCTTGCATAGAAATCCTAGAGATTACAGTAAAAGCTTCTGCTTCTTGCGCTGTATTCTTGAAAGGATATTAAATTTACATTTTACGCGTTTTTACAAGTGAAGTTTCCTTTGTGACGGTTTATTATCGCTATTCTCACGATGTTAATCCATTTATGATTCTATTGGCTCTAAGAGAGAGTATTTGAAGAGTAGAAAGATCGATTAGTAATTACTAATGCATAAGTAAGTCTTACTAAAACGTGAATCAATTCATAAGAATTGTTTGGAAGGATCTGCCTCGACAGGCGGTCATACAATCCAACAGCGTGTTCACTGAAGCTTAGCGAGAATGACAGCCGTACGTGCGTCCAAGCCTCGTGGTTGGCTGACCATCTAGAGGTGTGTCTGGGGGAGGGGGCTAAGGAACGAAGTGAGCGTCTCACATTTAGGGACACTTTCTTCCTCAACTTGCCCCATTTTTCTTGCGAAACCAACACAGCAACCATTATCCTATTAGGTAATAAAAACGCTGTGCGATATCTCTCTGTAAACTATTAATTTTGAACTTTTATCGTTCAACAGCTTCAACACACCTTTTCCCCAGGCTCCCAGAGGGAGTGTTTGATCCGAGGAGATATTGGACACTACTCGTTAAGTGCGGTTTTCTTAGGCCAACGCGGAGAAAGTTCGATCGACTCAGGTGATCACGGTGGTTTTTCTATCGAAAGGTGAGTGAAAGACCCTAATTGCGTGGCCTCCTAGTTGGGAACGATTGTAGGTGCCTGGGTAAGGTGCATTTTTACGAACGTCGTGTTGGGATTTGGGAATCTCGCGCGAGAAAGCTCTCTAATTATAGTTCCGTGTTCGCAAATGCTCGTTATCTAATTATGAGCTGTATTCAGAGCCTGTCGTTGTTAGTGTTTTCTTAGCGTACATATATTGTTTGTATAATTTTGAAGTCAATAGTATGATGCCCGAAAATTTGAAAACGAATGTGCCTGTACTCTACATATCTGACTGAAACTTGCTAAACGTGAGTTGTTTTCGAATGAGGCGTGTTTACATATAAATGGAAACAAAATAAATGCGATGTCTGGTTGTCGAAGTCATCTTATGAGCTCTAACCTTATGAGATTTGACGAGTCATCTGAAATTTAACATTATGCAGTGACTTTTCTGAGTTACAATGTTGCATTCTAACGGATACATTAAGTGGGGTGTTTCTTTTTCTCCTCTTCTAGAAATCTCGTCATGGCATTTCGTCTTCCCTTGAGGTCACTTTCACGAGTCGTTCCAAGAAGGCTTTTTGCTCCTCCTGCTTCCATCAGTCGGTCTTCTTTCGCAACGCTCGCTGAGGTAACGTAATCAAATACGTTAAATGTTGGCTGGTTTCATGTTGCACCACGGGAAACAGTATTTGTTCTTGCACAAGGTCAAGTAAACAGCGTCTTTTATTCTAACTTCTCGTCTGTGGGCAGGTTTACAAGTTTTCGAAGTATTCGATTAAAAAAGGAACCTACAATATTGACCTAATCAGAGTTTTGAACAAAATCATGACTGCTTCACGAACGTGACGCAGTGTTTATTATTTCGCATCTTGCAGTTTTATTTTGTTTTTAAGATCAAGACCTTTGCAAACCCCTCTTGTAGAATATCTTGGCGAGTAACAACTCTAGAGCAATGACGTCAGATGACTTGTGATTACCTTGACTACAGGAAAAAAAAAAAAAACATGAATTTTAAACATACCTGTGTAAGAATGTTTACATTCTGCTCTCACTGAAGCGGACTTTTTTGTTAGATATTTTCCACATTTTGTTCTCTGACTAAAATTTTCTCTCTAGCAATGTGATGTACATGAGCAGATATTGACTATATATACCACATGGCGTCAACTGTACTATTTAAAATAGGCAATGCGCATTGTTCTTTTATTATGGTTGATTGGAGCACACTAATTCTGTGAGGTAAAGGTCATTTTGAGGTTTTGGAAAAAGTCATGAAAGCAAACCAATGTAGAAATGCAAGTAAACCACATAATTGCATTATAATTATCCAGGGCCATAGTTAGCATGAGGCAAGACGAGGCCTTGTCCTGATTTTGGCCCAAGATTGACTTTTCTGGAGAAAAATGCCATGGAAAATGCTTAAAAGAGCATTTCTGAGCCTCCAGCTTTGAAAATTAATTTTCTGGAGGGGTATGCCAGACTCTCATAGTGGCTTGCATATTCAGTGCTTGAAACTTGCATCATCTTGTTCTGAAGTCTGGCTACAGCCCTGTTATCTCACAATGTAATCCCTTTATGTGTAGTGATTTCATATCTGATTAACTTCCATTTTTTGACAGTAATTAAAATTTGTAAAATATCAGGATAAATATGACAGTTGTCTGACATGGGTCTTTTTTTATTTGACAGCGTAAGATTGATGACAGTCCTGAAGTGAAGTACAATCAGGTAAATCATTTTGAAAAATTCTCATCCACTGTGACACTTTGTGTATGCTTTTTTAAGTGTTTGTGTAAGCTTTTGCTATCTTGTTTTCGCAATGAAAGCAGTCAGAGTATAGTTTTCAGATAAAGGTAAACACAGACATTTATTAATCATTCGTAGTTAAGAATATGGTTTTCCCAAAGATTTTTCACCCTTAAACTCCCAAGATCTCTCTGTAATTCTCATTACTACCTTCCATACAATTATAATGATGTCAATTTGGAGAATTTGGTATGGGATCAAGTAGCAATCCCATAATTGATATTTTACTTTATTCTCATCACTTGTCTAGATATAGTAAGGAGAAATTCTGTCTTGGTCACTCACAGGAGTTAAAGGGTTAACTGAAATCCAATGAAGAATTGTCTCAATTAATTTTGAGAAGTGTGTTCATTGAAACTGTTGTGTCTTGGGTTTTATGAAGCATGCCTTTCTTGGACCTTTGCAGGCTTTTAGGGACTGGGCCAATTAAGTAATTTTTTGTTTGTCATCTTTGTTATGTAGATACAGTTTCAGTGGGCATAGCATCTCCATAAGTAGGCTGCCATTAAAACCCTTTGCAAATGATGTGTGTACACACTGTACATACATATATGTGTTGTATGTATTTGCAATATTTCAACAGGCTGGTCTAGTTCAACACAAAGGTGATTTAAATTGGGGCTTGTAATAAACAGTGACTGTCACGAGGCCTGGCCACAACTCCAGGAGCTATGTTCCCCACTCTTTGAGAGAAGTGTATGGGTTCTTTAATGCCCCTGCTAATCAGTTAAGTTTAGTTAACTCAACTAAACTTTGCTGGTTAGCAGTAACTGCTAGCATAACTTAAGCAAAAATGTGACTGAATCAGTATGGTAAAAGTTAAGTCCTTGTTCCCCAGGTTTTCATCAACAACAGGTTTGTGGACTCTGTCAGTGGCAAGACATTCCCCACAATCAACCCTGCAACTGGGGAAAAAATATGTGATGTGGCTGAGGGTGACAAGGTAAACCATACACTTTACAAACTATGATAACATTGGCTTTGAAGATAACATTCTATTTTTATTGCAGTGGTCATTCATGCATTATTTGGTGAAAACAGGCTTGGTTGGAAAATGGCTGTAAACACTGATAGAGATCAATGCTACAATTGTAACAATCACCACAAAACTGATAAATCAATGCAAAAACTTTTGATCAGAAGGGATTTTAATTTAGTCTAAACAGATAAAATGTTTTACAAATTATCAGTAAGGGAACAAACAAAATGTGATTTACATGTATGGACTTGTGGGAGATAGATTTGCAAAATGCTTGAATCTTGCTTATGCAGGTGAGGCATGCAGAAGTGCTAATAACCAATATGTTCTTTAGGCAGATGCTGATATTGCTGTTAAGGCAGCCAAAGAGGCCTTTAAGCTAGGCAGTCCTTGGAGAACAATGGATGCATCAGAACGTGGAAAGCTTTTGAACAGACTGGCTGATTTGCTTGAACGAGATCAAGCTTATCTTGCAGTAAGTACTAACATTTTGTTGGAGTAAAAGTGAAATTATTAGCAATCATAGTCCTAAACTTTAGAGGTAAAATGTGAAGTCCTTTCCTTTTATTCAATAACTAGAGTCAATCAAAGCTGTTACATAAACTTGCCATGAACAAATGCAAAAAAAAAAGAAATTAAATAAAGCCATCTTGACCAAAATGAGTGAAGGGAATGAATGATCTGTGATATATTTTAGCCTAATGACTACACTAAGGGTAAAGCATGTCTGCTGTACTTCAAAGTGAAATAGAGGCAATTTTTGTCTTATTTGTTTGCATATTTTCATGTGAATTTTGTTTTTTTGCAGCAAAGCAGGCAGTTCTAGGCAGTTCAATTATATGTAATCTTGTAAACTAGATTAGCTAGTCAGGATGCATTCTTGATTTGTTTTAGTTAAGCTTGTTAAGAAAGCCAGCCTCATTTTGTTGCAAGAACATATACATTAAATCATTCTGTGGGTGTTCAAACTCTGACTGTAAAAAGAAAAATGTACTCACAACATTGGTTGTTCTCAGAGTACACAACCTTGTACATTTTGTTAATTCAGCTATAAAGTATGAAATAAGACAAAATGTGGTTCTTCTCTCCTAGAGTTTAGAGACTTTGGACAATGGCAAGCCATTCAATGATTCTTTCAATATTGATTTATCCATGACAATTAAGTGCTATCGATACTATGCTGGGTGGGCAGACAAAATTCATGGCAAGACAATTCCAATTGGTAAGTTTATTACTTTGAAGTTATGGAAAGCCAATAAACTCAATGGAATTTTGCATATTCATTTTAACGAGTTATCAACCACATAACCACATGTTGTCTTAGGTGACCAAGAATTCTTTAAGCTTTTACTATAATAGGCAGTAAGCTCCTCCAGTAAGGCTTGTTCATTCCTTGGTTGTGATTCTCTTGGAAACCCAGCTTTAAGGCATTATGCCTGTAGTTACTTTTTGAAAGACAGGCACGTGGTGCACTAATGAAACAGACTGGCTTATCTTAGACAGGCTCACTTATGCTCTCACAAAACAGTAGTGCTGTAAATATGTGTCCAGTCTTCTTTTATTCATTCTACACCCTGTGGAACTTCAGTAGATAATTGATATCAATGTGTTTGCATTTTATGTCAATTTAACATCTGCTGAAGTGTTCATTGTCAAATGATGTTGGTTAACTCTCAAAAAATTGATCATTTTTGATGCCAGTTATTTGCTTCCTGCTGCTTGCTTCTGCCTAACCTCCATGGAACAACCAGCTCTACCCATAGGGTGATAACAAGAGGCGAACATTAAGTTTGTGGACCTCTTCCTTATATTCCCCCTACAAACCTTTTCAAACGTTTTACCTGGTAGCAAAGAAATGTGTTCTATCATTTGATGCTGATCGTAGTATTTTCATTGTTATGAATCGTTTAATTCACTCAACAGATGGCAGTTTCTTAACCTATACCCGCCATGAACCTGTTGGTATTGTTGGTCAAATAATCCCATGGAACTTCCCACTGCTGATGCAAGCCTGGAAACTTGGTCCAGCCCTGGCGGCTGGAAATGCAATTGTAATGAAACCAGCAGAACAGACACCACTGACTGCCTTATATGTGGCGTCTCTAATTGCTGAGGTACTTAATCTTAATTAGAAAGATAGAAAGTCTAAAATTTCCCTGTTAAGCACTCCTCTCATAAAAACTCATTTAAGACTAAAATCTCTATACAGGTTCTTGTTTTTGGAATGAGCAATTTGTTCAAATTTGACACGGTAAATCGCATGCAATACAAAAAGGTAACAACGCCAGAACACTGGCTGTGTTTTAAGACCACAATGCTGTATTGTCGATACACCCATAGTTGTACAACATATCAGACTGTGTGTACAAGTAAACCGTGTAAAGTAGGGCACTATGAGGTTGGCAAACAGCGCATTATCACACCCACACCAACCAATACAAGTGTTTGTTTTTTTTTGTTTTTTGTTTTTAAACAAAAATTAAGAACGTAATTAAGAACTTAGGTAGCCTTATTTCACAGTAAACACCATTTATGTAAGAACCTATGGAGGCAAACTTGGAAAACCTAGGTTTCAATATGCTGGTTTTTACTGTAACTCTTTTAACTTGTAGGGGGGACAAGCATCGAAATTCCCCGTACATTATCACCTCTAAAAAACACACTTAGATAATGAGAATGAAGGAAATGATGGCCAACTAAGTAACTTTTTAATCTATTGACAACAATATGAAGAATATGCATAATGAAGGTGAGGGGGGGGGGGAGGGGAGGCTGAAAGGACAGCTTATTTCGCCAAAAGTTTGTCCGAGTTCAGCTCGGTAAGAAGACAAACCTTTTTTGTTGGTTTCTTGACAGGCTGGTTTCCCGCCAGGTGTTGTAAATATGGTTCCAGGCTACGGACCTACAGCAGGAATGTCAATCGCTGAACACATGGAGATTGATAAAGTTGCCTTCACTGGTTCCACTGAGGTAAAGGTCATGTAATATAACGAGAACACACTGAAAAGTGGTTTGTTTTAAAAATTGAACGGTAAATATTCTTCTAGGAAAGAGGAGAGGGTAGACAGTGTTTTGTTTAAATTGGCCCAAGATTGCATGTAAAAGCAAACAGATGAACTGATCATCACAGCCTAAAAAAGCACAGGAAAAAGAAAAAAAGAAAAAAGCAAAAACCAAACCTGAAATCTCTTCCAGACAATGATCATTATCCAGTCCGCCAAATTCCACTAGGCCTTTTTTTCATCATGGGATATTGTCGGGAGTCTACACTCTTTTGGGGCCGTTTTGAATGTTTTATCACCTCGGTTGAACTTCTTAGTCATAGAATATTTGTTGTGAAATCTGGGACAGAACTACTCCTGCAAAAAGCGAATATTACTCTTTTTCACGTGTAATTTTATCTCGTAGATTGGGCATGTAATTATGCAAGCAGCTGGCAGAAGCAACTTGAAGAACGTCACCCTGGAACTTGGTGGCAAGAGTCCTAACGTGGTGTTTGCTGATTCCGATATCGACAGCGCAGTGGAAATGAGTCACTTTGCTCTGTTCTTCAACCAGGGTCAGTGTTGCTGCGCTGGCAGCCGCTGTTTCGTAGAGGAGCCGATTTACGACGAGTTTGTGCAAAGAAGTGTGGAGAGGGCCAAAAGCCGTGTCGTTGGCAACCCTTTTGATTTGAATACAGAACAAGGACCACAGGTAATAATAATTGGTGAAAAATGGAGGGCGCTTCGGTCATCTTCGCCGTCGTCGTTTTCGGTAGACATACAGTACGAGTGGCTTTGATAAATGATGGGTTAATCGACCCTTCTTATGAAAACATTGACTCTCCATGAACAAAAAGCAGGCAAGGAAGTTGGGAAAGGGTATGCTATTGGGTAAGGAAGATCCAGCATTCTCCTTAAATCACTGTTTTTTGAGAAGATCTCTTGAAGTTCTTAAACTTTATCATGAAAAGCCATCCGTTGCCTTTGGCTTGGATAGTCGTGCTCTCTTTGGCCATTCCTTAGTGCCAACCTTACAATCCAATGTTGCCGTTTCTTAATGGCCAACTGGAAAAAAAATTTTTTTTTTTGGGGGGGGGGGGGGGGTTGTTGATACTGGACAGGAAAAGAGTAGAACTATCAACTCTTCCCCGCCCAATTCATCCCTAAGCCAACGGATTCGGGATGCCACTCCTGCTTTTCGCGCTACACCGAAGGAAAGATTATGGAAACGCCTGGTCTTTGCAAAATTTCTAAAACTGCTGCTCTCTTTACTTTCCTAAAGGTTGATCAGGAGCAGTTTAGCAAGGTTATGTCCCTGATAGAAAGTGGAAACAAGGAAGGTGCCAATATGGTCTTTGGAGGAGGGAGGCATGGTGACAAAGGCTACTTTGTGCAGCCCACCGTCTTTACTGATGTCCAAGATCACATGAGAATTGCAAAGGAAGAGGTGCACTAATTGATTGAATTGGTCGTTAAAATATTAATAAGATGACAGAAGCTATTAGCGAACTAATGACTATAATTTTGTGTTGTGTCAGATTTTTGGACCCGTGATGCAGATCATGAAATTCAAGGACATGAACGAATTGATTGAACGAGCTAACAATACCATTTATGGTTTGGCTGCCTCTGTGTTTACCAAGGACATTGACAAGATGAATACTATCGCCCACAGCATCCGTGCTGGCACTGTTTGGTGAGTATCAGATTTAAGGAACACCTTACTCCACAAGTTAATTGAATGAATTCATTATATTTCCATATGGGAACGTGTGTTTCTCTCCTGTTACAGGGTCAACTGCTACGATGTTCTGGATGTCCAAGCGCCATTTGGTGGCTTTAAAATGTCTGGATCAGGGAGGGAATTGTGAGTTCTCGTATTTGATGCTTCTTTCTCTCACAGCTTCGTGCAATGTTCCCAAAATACCCGCCATAAATAACATCTCACGCTCATAAGGAAATTCTGCTTATTTTATTTCTATCTATTTTCTTATTTGATACTTATTTATTTATTTTTATTTTATTTTATTTATTAGGGGAGAGTATGGTCTTGAGCAATATTCGGAGGTGAAAACGGTAGGTGACAATTTATGGAAACTGTGCTTTCTCCACTTGTGTGTTCATAGGATCTATAGGTGGTGTTCCACGTAGTGTCCACGGAAACATAAACCCTTCCATCTTATCCAGTCCCTGATAAAGCAATAAGCACGAACTAAAACACCATTAAAGGTTAAGTGTTATTTTAATTCTTATAATTTTGTTTTTGTTGGTTATGCGCTCCGACGCCCTGGCAATCACTCAGTCTATCGTCTGATCGTAAAGTTCACCTCTCTTCCTACCTTGTCTTTTCTGTTCAGTAACTTGTTGTTCCTTGTTTTGACAGATAACGATCAAGCTCCCGCAGAAGAATTCTTAAACAGCTGAGTGGTAAATCGAATGCTCTGAACCTTGAAATGTCTTCAAAACCATTCAGTTCAGGCGATTTTCACAAGTTATTTAATACGTCCCTCATTCTCAAACCCAAAGTGTAGCACTCAGTTAACGTAACTTCGACAATTTTTTGTACCGTAATCATAAGGAACTTCAACAGACTTTTCTTTTCATAAATATGCTCAACTTCTTAAGCTGTGACTTGCATTGCGTGGAAAAGGTAGCCTGTTGGTCAAAACCGTTTTTACCAGTATGATTTAGAAATTTAAATCATGTTCAACTAGCCCAAACGTTCTACACCTCACTGAACGACAAATACATACATGTAATTGTCCAGTTAGTACAGTTAGTGCTCGTAGTCCAAATTAAAATCTCTTTTTGTAATCGCAATGATAAATCGTAACTTAATAAAAAGAAACCTGATTTTTTTAAAATTTTTAATCTACATATTCACCGCAGAACCTTTTCATCTTCGATTCTCACGTTGACGTTACTTGCGCAGTGCAACTTGAGGGAAAAAATTGTAAAATTTTTGAAGGATTCTCTTTTGTTAAGAGTCACGTCGGGCGAACCATCAGACTATTAAAATGATGCAGAAAAATAACACTGAAAAAGTAAAATAGGTAAACGAACACACAAACAAGTCTACTGACCTGGTAATGGGGATAATGAGGGTTCACGGTTGTTTCGTACCCACGGTCGTTTCGTACCCAGCTCGGTCGTTTCGTAGCCAAACTAATAAAGTATATTTTCCATGTTATATTTTGCGTTAAATAAGTTTTGTTGACATGGTGAGATGACCGCTTGAGGATACGAATTTTATCTTCGAGTATGGACGGTTCTTATTGTGAATAGAAATATTACCTGCGTTAAATAAGTTTTGTTGACATGGTGAGATGATCAAACTTGGGTACGAAACGACCTGGTACCCTAATGAGAAGTGTGATGATGATGTTTATTTAGATTATGGAATCAGTGTCATCCCTCGTTAACCGTAGCGTTAGAATATTGATATTGAAGTTTTAAAATGCCGTAAACACAACTTTAGCGCCCTTTGACATAAGCTGATCATATTTTATTACGAAATACGAAAACAAAGATAAAGAAGAGGAAAAGTGTTGAAAGGGAATACACTATGCTGAAAAATACGTCACCATCTTGCGACAATGCCCTGTCACCTACTTATCAGCATAAGCATGTTTTGGCACAACTGTACCTGATGCTTACTTAAAGTTCGAAATTCGTTGTTCACGTTTAAAAATAGATCTATTTATTCAATAGGGACAACAGTAGAACCCGTAGTTCTTGGCTTAATCAGTCAACCGCAAAACAAAGAGAAGTTTCTTTGTAGTGTGGTCAACTCAATTTGCATGACCATCACATTAAATCTGAGCATTTCTTAATGGCTTTGTCCCAACTCCAGAGGGAAATAAGTTAATTTTTGTCAGGAATGTTGGCTGACGATACATTAGGCAAGCTATACTCCTAGATTCTAATAGGAATGTTGCGAGAACGAATTTGGCCCTCTTGAAAAAACTCGGCGAACCTGCTCACTGTTATCAAGCGATTACTAAGATGTGCAATTTTCGTTTACATGATTCTCCTCTGTGTAACCGTTAGCAACTTCTTTTGAGCGAAATTTTTGCTTTGTTTCATTCCACTGGGAAAAACCAAAAGCACAATATTCCAGTTGTAAAACTAACTCGATTAAGACGAATTATCTATACGGCTAGAAATGAGTAGAGAACTTTTATACAGCGCTGGTGTGTTTTTCTGTCCAATCTCATCTTTGCCAGATTTGATCGAAAAGGGAAAGATCTCTTGCCTCGAGGATAGTCTTTTCTTCGACAGCGAAATTCAACCGGGGTGGATTCATTTTAACTCAGACAAGGTTACAATTCTATCAAGTAATGAAATGTTCGAGCCGATTCTTCAAGTGCCTCATCTCTTCCACCCTGAAGAACACACCTTCAAAATAAACTCGGACGTTGATTTGGGGAATTTGATAGCGTTGTTTAAGAAACCGCTAATCATGTGCGTTACGAGGAGACAAGAAGATGAGGCCATGATCAATGGCTTCGACACGGACTTCGTTATCGTTTTCGACCCTTCGGATTCCAAAGTTGCGCAAGAACTTTCAAGAGTAACCGAATATGTCGAAAAACATCTTCGTAAAAGAAAGAAATTTCACCTTACGATAGATTTATCAGAGAAGCTTGACGAAATATCACCGTTGGATTTCAAGAAACACGTTATGTGGTTGAATTGTTTTTTTCACGTCACAAATTACCATGCACCCAATCCCGTTTTGACCCTGGACATCTTCTATCTTTGGTTCATTCTTCTGCCATGTTGTATCGCCGTTGCATTGCCTTACAGACTCTACAGAAAGCTGCGCTGTGTGGACAGGAAAATAGACTTGAACATTCAGTTCTTTTTGGAAGCGACAGATTCCGTGCCTTTAGCTTTGTACTTCTTCTCTGGTTGCCCGCCCAACCCCGGTCGTTACCGAACTGAAAGCCACAAATACCATTTGCGAGCCTGCCCTGGGACAGAACTTAGATCATTACTCTACTTAATGAACTGCTAGTACTCAATATAGTTTCTCTGACACAGGCCTTCTCCAAATCTTCGTCTTCGATTCTTGTGTTAACGCAACTTGCATTTGAAGGGAAACAAGTGATTTTTTTCATAGGTTTTCTTTTATTAACAATCACTTCCGGCGGAAGTTCAGACACTCAAAATGAAGCAGAAAGAAAAAACACTAAATTTAGAATAAATAAAAGAACAAGCAAACAAATCAACTGACTCAGTAATAACGATAACGATGATTATGATGATGTTAATTTAGATTAATGCATTAATATTGATAATGACGGTGATGTACAGTCGCACCCCGCCATTTCACAGGGGGACCTGGGGCCCGTTTCTTGAAGGTCCCGGTAACTTTACGGGCCCGTAAAGCTGTTCTGTCTCATTCAAGATTAATCAAGATGGGGATATCAAAAGTTTTGAAAATTATACAATAAACCTATCTGCTAAATAGTGACTGTAGCCGTTATTCTCACGCAACTTGTATACGAATCACATGTCAAGCGAAACAAGTCACGTACCTGTATTCCAACTGTGTAACCTGGCCGACAAGTTTTTCACATGTCAAACGGTTACCTGGCTTAGTGGTCACGAAACGGGGAATGACAGGGAGAACAAAGTATGTGACTTGAATTCCAGATGACTTTAAAACGTCCAGGAGGTATATGATCTGATGGAAACTGCTTTCGGTTGACTGATAACAGATTAACGACATAAACCAAGCATGAAATGATTCACTGGAATTCTCGACCAAGCCAGGATGAACTACAAGGTCACGTAGCAGGGTAACGTTATCCCTTAGGTGAAATTTTATCTCGAAGTACATATGTGCAGTCTTCTAAATTGCTAAAAAAATCTGTCGTTCGTCGTAACTTACTGTACTTTCCTAAAGAAACTCGCTGTCTGTGAGGCTGTCACTTTACCTGTATCTGGAATTTGAAGTTGCGCGGTATGTCAACTCCGCAAATGCTCGAATTTTGCAATATCCTCTTACGTAACACGAGAAAAATGTTGTGATTTTCATAACTGATAATTAGTAAAAATGCGAGTAATGTCAAAAACGGGATTAAACGAAAAAACTAACCTGCTGTTATTTTCATCGTCTCAAATCTTTTCTTTTTAATTTACTGGGAGTGAATTAAAAAAATAGCTGAATTTTGAGTTCAAATCAATGCAGAGACCGACCACACGGGCTGCGTTCAGTAATTAAGCTCAAAGAGCTTTTATCTATTGTCCTTACAATGCTTCCGATAAAGACTTTCATTTACAAGCCATTAGTCATCGGCGTCGTTCTAGAATACCTTACCGAACAATACAAAGTGCCTCTGCATAAAGACTAAGCGTGATTAGCTCTAAAGTCTATAAGACCCACTTTCGCTCTGCACGGCTGCACCAGTTCCTGAAGACCACGACTTTAGAAGTAATGGAGAACCTTTCCCCAGAAGTACTGATGTTTCCCATAACATCATTGCCATTCATTTTGAACAGCAGACCAGAGCTGCAAGAGGGCTTTCTGCTCGATTTCGAAATCAGACCTGGCTGGATTGTATACAATCCAAACGTGGTAACTGTTCTGTCCTGCAATCAAATGTTCCAACCTGTGTACGAATTGGAGCCAATTTGGAGTTCAGACAAACAATTGTTTAGAATCAAAAGTACTGACGATCTGGAAGACTTGAGGGTCATGTTGAGCAAGCCGATAGTGTTCTGTGCCACCAGAAGACAAGAATGTGAGGCAATGATCAACGGATTTGATACGGACTTCGTAATACTGCTGGATCCTAAACATCCAAATGTTGCAGTGCAGATTCAAAAAGTTGTTGATCGCGTCGAGGAGCGCCTAAAGTCTGTACAAAAATTCTGTTTAAAAACCCACTTTTCTGATCTTTTAGAGGGATCAACTCTGGCTAAGTTCAAAAGCTTCGTTTACTGGTTTAACTGTGAGTTTTATATCACCAACCACTGCAGACCAAACCAGTTCTTATCAACAAATCACTGGCTCTTTTGGTGTGCCGTGTTTCCAGTATTTATTATGGCTTCACTTCCCTATCGCATCGCAAGGAAAGCTTGTATTTATGACGAAGAGATAACTTTGCAAATGAGATTGAAGTTGACTTTTTGTCCAGAAACTGTCCTTGTACTGCATTTTTACTGTGTGGATAAACCGTTGCCCGGACGTTACCTTACAAACGAGAAATTGTTTATAGAACGTGAATGTTCTTCCACTGAGCTTAAAAATTTAGTTTGTTTTGATGCTAAGAAGCTCAGGAAGCATGAACGATGTAGTTTTCGTTTGAAGAGGATTAAGCACAAACTGATTAGTCTATTAGAAGTGGTAAGAAAGAATAAAGCAAAATGAACCAAACCATTCTCTGACTTGAAAAGGTACAGCTTTAGAACAAATGTCATTGTTTCTTAGAGGAACTCTTCCGCAAATTTTGATAGAAATCAAATAGATGGAATAAAAGATAGATAACAAAGTTCTTGAAATAAACATAAACTTTGGAACATTTCACCTGTTTAATCTCAATAAAGAATGTAAAATCCAAGAGATGCGTAACTTCTGAACACTCATTTAACCTTACGTGAAAGAAACAAAGGATCAATTGAAATGTTTGAGGCACCCTGAATTGGTCTCTCAAAACGATATTCCCGCAAGTTATGACAAACTCACTCGAGATCAGGGTTGAAACACATGACAGGAAGTTTCTTGTTCTAATTTTGAAGTGTTATAGTCTAGGACCTCTTGCGACAGAGGGCATCTAAAAATGTGATTTCTGGGGCAGTGTTTCACTGTTGTAAAACTAGAACAGCAATTAGCGCCAATTATCTGCCATAATCCGTATTCAAAAACTAGTTATAGCTCACGTGCTTTGCGTGTTCACGGTCGCTGGTACTGAACGACGGGTCCTTGCACGTCTTGCATGGCAAGGTTTTTGGCAAGCTTTGTGAGTGTTTGAAAATGTGAGGGCACCCGTCAGAAGAAACCGAACCGAGGTATTCATGAAAGCGTGTGAAAAGTGCAAGGAAATTTGCATACCTTACAAATCTTCTCACACACCTACACCCGTCCTTTCAGCTTTGTTCTAGCCTTAGGCGTGCGGCACCTTTCCCATATATCCTAGACACACCTTCGCTCTGCAGAAGGGCTGACGCTCGAAACTTTTAACTGGGGCCAATTCACGTTATAAATTCAATCGATAAAACCAACTTAGGCAGATTACACGTGTCGCACGATCGACTAGCTTCATGTCACGTGCGCTCCAAGAGGGGTGTTCAGACAGCCTGTTCTACTTGTCCATGAGAAGGGTGATAGGTAGGCAGAAAGAAAGGAGAGGAGATTTGCGTCGGGTCGCTGGCTTCATCAGAGCTTCTCTCCTTTTTTTCCGCTCTGTCCAACTAATGCGTTATTTTAGACTACCGAAATCTCCCTGTTAGCCCGCAAAATGCGCTATGATGCGCGACAGAGAGAAAATAAAGTGCACTAAGTTAGCAGGGTCAGTTATGCAGTAAATTAGAATTTACATCATCATTCTCATGATTATCTTCGCCATCTTCCAAGTCTTCAGCCTCTGAATCCTGCACCTGATAATAATCTTTTGACTCGTCCATTTGGTTAAAATCAAAATATTCAGCTTCTTGATGCATCAGCTCTTCTAGCCTTCCAACCATCTCTTGAAAACTAGGCCGTTCATCTTGGTCTTGTTTCCAACAATCCAAAATCAAAGAGTAACTGAGACAAAAATACAGGACAAATTGAAGCACTCCGATTAAAATGTCAAATAGTCTCCAAACCTCAGCACACCGGAAATTTTCTCTAATTCGCCATGTTGAAGATACTTACAAAAGTGAACTCGAGCCAAAACCTAGAGCTGGAGCACGGTGTGTGGATACCGTAAGAATAATGGGTGACTATTTTTTTCTCAGTTCGTGAGCGGGCGGTATTCTACAAATCCTGCAATCTGATTGGTTCCGAGAGTGGGCAGTATTCTCCCCATCCGGCCCGCTCACAGCGGGCGGTTCTTTTCGCAACCATTGGTTAGGTTTTAGGAAAAAATAAAAATGTTATTCATCAGCCAAGGTCGGTCCGTATTGGGAAAAACTGTGCCTTATGTCTTGTGTACCGCCCGGGGTCGTGGGCCTCGGGCGGTATCCAAGACCTCGGGTACAGTTTTTCCCAATACGGACCTCCCTCTGGTGAATAATATATACTTAGCTTTCCGTGATTTAAAGTAGGTTTTCAATAAGAGAGGAATATTGAAACGTAATTTAATTCAACAGGAAATTAATTGATCGCAAAACAAATCAACTTACACATGATCTGAGCACAAATCAGGTTTTTCCATGCGGTAACCTGTCTTCAAACGTCTCATGACCTCTGTATTGGTTAACAGTGGATATGGAGAACCACCTAGAAAAAAAAAATACAGATTTAAGAATAAATGAAAATAAATTAGAGCGTTGTGGAAGGTTGCTTTCCGTGGATATGCGGACTTTGCATCATCCCATTACAACGCAAAATAAAAAATGGTAAGGGCTGTGAAAGCCGTTCGGGACAAAAACTAAGGAGATTTATAGACAGCTAGATAGAAAAATGTAGTACATTCGAGAAATTTTTAGTAACAGGAATCCTCGTTCAATTTATTTTTTGAATTATGATATCCCATTATGACGCACAATTGGAAAAGATTGGATTTTGATTCAACGAGATGTAATGTAATCTGTGTGTTGTGATTGTTATTGTTATCTTAAGTTAGATCACAGGGCGCCCAAGCTCTCGATAAGAGGATAACAGTATAGAGCTTTCTATAGGGGGTTAGGCCCTGCTCTATAGTTCCGTAGATAGTAAAGTAATTAAACTCTTTGTAGTGTTTCTTTTTTCGTGAGTTATTTTTGTTCTCTAGTAGCGTTTTTAGGCCCTCGAGGCGAGTTTCAAGGTAATAGTATTGAAGTAAGAAGAATGAGACTTAGAACAGGCAGCAGTGGGATGAGAGCTCAGCTAAAACTCGACGAAATGGCCTTAAATTGCTACCAGAGAACACATAACACAAGCACCACTACCCAAAGGTTAATTAGAGTTTATTTACTTCATTATTTACGGAGTTACATAGCGGAGTTTAAACTCTCATACTAAACCCTGTAATATCTGTCCCTTTCATAAAGAGATTGGGCCCCCTCTGGTTAGATTACCGACAGTCGCGATTTCCCACATGACTACTCCATAAGACCAACTGTAAAATTAAGAAAATGAATAAATCTATTAGGTTAGAGGATAGACATATAGTATATATACATCATCCAATGAGTAGAATTTATTTTACACCACAATATGCTACACTTCTTTTAAGAAAAATACTATTATCTTCTGTCATCATCCTTAAGTGATAATTATCATTACTTTAATTTATTATTATCATTACCATCTTTGTCGTCTTTGTCAACAGTTATCATTGGTTTGTAGTCGCTGTCGTAACTTTTATCAGTTTAGCGTCATAGAATCATCTGTTTATTTCTGTTTACCTTAACCCTTTACATCCTAACATCAGTATGCATATTCTCCATACTGTTCTCCATACATTTCTAAAGAGGCTGACAAGGAGAATTTGTTTAACAATCAAGAGCTGCTTTAGTTGGTCATCTTTTCTATTCTCATGACTTTCATGTTTGATTCAGGGAGGATATAGTAAGGAGAAATTAAATGCCGGTCACTTTTACTAGCTAAAGGGTTAAAAATTCACAGACACGTCTTAATTACTTTTGTTATTATTATTATTAATGTCTATTATCATTTTTATCATTATTATTATTATTATTATTATTATCACTATCATCTCAGTCGTCATCATCAACAGGTATCATATGTTTGTTGTCGCTGTCATTGCATTACTTCTGGTTTCGTTAAACAACCACAAAAGTAATAAAGTTACTTACATGTCACTTTTTGACGTAAATATCTGCCTATAAAGTGACTCAGGCGCCATCCATTTGATTGGTAGCTTTGTATGCTTTTTTACCTCATACAGTTCATGGTACATTTCTCGCATTAGACCAAAGTCTGAAATCTTGAGCCGTTTGCTGTGTCCAACTAGAATGTTTCTTGCCGCAAGATCTCTATGGACTAGCCCCTTTCCGGAAAGGTAAGCCTGACCAATAAGATAGTGAAATTAATTTGATGATTGCCGTAAGGGGAGGAGATCCTTATTGGGAAAGTATTTGAGATTGATTCGAAAAGGGAAACGTTGGACGATGTTCCCCTTGCCGAATTTGCAAAACTATTCTAACTGAGCAAAGAGGGTAAGTTTCTAAAGAAACTGTGGTGCTGCGTCGGTGGGATAGTATATAACAGGGTGAATTGGTATTATCAACGGAGTTGATAACGAAAATTGGCCCCGTGGCGTTAACCCTTCGTCAGAGCGAACGACGAAGGGCTTATATTATAATCTTTATCATCGAGGTATTTTATTTCTTAGGGGTATTAATGAATACCGAAATGAATATTAATTATTAAAGCCAAAAACACGGTCCCTGCATGCACTTAAGTCTCACCCTACCATGCCTTTTGCGATCTGCCAAGCCATGGACATGAGATCAGCCGGAATAAATGACTCGCAATCATCACTGCACTCATCGTCTTTCTTCTCCGTCAAAGCGTCACCCTCTTGCAGCTCAGTGGAGAAAACAACGAGAGGAATTTTAGCTTCAGTTGGTTGTGATGTGTCACCAGGAGAAGGGGCAGAGTTGCATGCCTCTGGTATGTTCTTGCCTCTTACATCACTGACCTGATCCAAAAGATAGGTTCTTAAAATTAGGTTATGGAACATAATGTGTTAAGTACTTGAAACACCTTCTAATTTTCGGCTTAGAGCCTCTCACTAGAAGGACAGAATTCTTTTACTGACCAAGTTTAAACTAAATTACAACAAAAGAACTCTTTATTCTCCTCAAGGACGCATTCGTCAATACTCCAAACGTCGTATGTTTAAATCTGCTTCAATTATTCTATAATCATCTTTTTGGCTGTTTTTTTGTATCTCTATCCTTTTATAGAACGTCCAGAATTACAGTGTTTTATTCCACTCTTTGCCTCCAAGCGCTGGACAATCATTCTTTATTCCTATTCTGTTGCCCCACATAATGCCTTTTACTGTAACTTCTTCAGTTGTTAAACAGATATAATCATGAATTGCAGCTCAGTACCATTTGGGGGAAATGCATAAGAACCCTCCTAAGTGCCTTACTAATCAAAAGTTGATTGCAAATTTATTTTTTTTACCTCTTCTGCAGTTGATTTGAGATTCGTGCTTTCAGCATAAAAACTAATTCCCTGTGGGCAGCTGCTGGTGGAACTGTTAATCTGTAACGGCGACGAGAAGTCATGAGTTGTCTAAATTTACACAGTTTACCTTCGTTCTCTCTTCCTTTTTGGTCTCATTGTGTGAATGAAAGGAATAAAATACAAAAGTTCGATCTGATCGGTTTCTACGTTGAATTATGCTCGCCCCTCCGAGTTTCGTTGAGCTACTAAATGATTGGCATCAATGATGGATATTTTGTAATTTTCAACATTCGAAACAATGGGGAACATCTTAGTGTGCGAAGATAAAAGAGGAAGGATGTGCAAAATATGAGATTCTAACCGTGTTGTTGTGGTAAAGCAAAATAACTTTTGAGAAATGCAGACGTTACCTAGCTAATTAGAGAGTGGTGTTTGCGATGTTTATTATTATTAATATTATTATCATTATTATTATTTATCAGAATTACCTGGACCCTTTTCCTTTTCAGCCATTGAAGCAAATCTCCATGGGCTACATACTCGAGCATCAGAAGAAAAGGTTCGGTTGTGGTCCAACAACCTAGGAAACTCAACACATTCTGGTGTTTTCCCACTTGCTTCATGAGGTCAATCTCTTCTAAAAATTCTCTCCTTTGCTCCTCGTCAGCGCGTTCTTTTTTGATAAGCAAACAAGGGCTCATTAAATTACAAACATTATTTCAGAATTATTTGGAACATATTTGCATCCTTATAATATTAGTGGTATTAATAATGATCAAATATAAGGACTTCATTTTGATTTTTTAAAATCGTAACGTGAATTTTACCAATGGTCTGCGTTTAATATGTGGTAAAACTAAAGCAAGCAAACAGAAAAACATTAACGTAATATAATTCCATCATACCATGTAATTCTTTCACTGCTACAGTCTTTGACTGCTTTTTTCTTCCAAAAAATTTTTCATCGTTTGCAAAAAGATCCAAACTATCCTTAAGTCTTGCTTTGTGAACTTTTCCAAACGCTCCTTCGCCCAGTGCTTCGAGAAATTCTATTCTGATCGGATGGATTTCGGACTGCTCCAAAACCTGAAGGTCTTTGGCAGTTCTTTATTGGAAAGAATACATCTTTATTTAGAGACATATTTAAGTATAAACTAAACTTGTACTAATTAGCTCCTCGTTCGATATTCGATCTTGTTTTTAGCCGTTATCAAGAGAAACTTGGAAGTGAAGTTACTCCTGCTGCATTATTTCTCTCTTAGAACGAGCGTTCCTTTGCCATTTTAGATCCTGTACAACGAATCAATTTCTAAGTACCTGAAAAAAATAATAATAACGTATACCTTTTTGAACGTTTAGTCGCCTGATTCTTGTGGAAATACCAAAAGCCAATGACCAGTAGGATAAAGAGCAAGAAACCCAAACAGGCGATCAGCGCTCCTATTAGACTGGTCATCATTGAGGAATCTACAAGGTAAATAAGCAAAGCTATGATCTTAAAAGCATTAGCAAACTTTTTAGGCTGAATATCCATATCTTTTGTTCTCTCATTTTCAATTTATTGCATGACATATCCTAGCTCCTACGGAGAGCAAGAAGCTTTTGCTCGTTTTATGTCCATACCTGATGGGTGATGTTTCGCAGTCACCTGGTCAAAGTCAGATTGAACAGATTGAACATCTTCTGTAGTTGCCGCCTGTCTTCTAGAATTGGCACTCCCTCCCAACAGGTTCCAAGCCCTGGCCTGAAACTCATAAGTCGTGGTGCAATTCAGTTTGATGGTGACTTGATTGACTGCAACGTCCGTAATATTTATCACAGTCCACTCGATGGCATCAGGGGGTGCACCTTTTTGTCTGTAGCTGATTGTGTAGAAACGTATTGGGCAGTTTTTTGACAAAAGCGTGGTCCACTTTAAGGTCACATTGCATCCTGACACTTTCCGTTCAATTATTTCAGGTGTGCCAGGCTGGTCTGAAAATTTTAAGAGAAAAGAGTGGAATACTTGTATGATGCTTGTGTTATTGACATAATCGTTCAAAGTTTACCTATTACGCCGTTAGGCATAAGATAGGGAGAGTTTCTGTTTTAACTGAGAGTATTTTTTAGAGATGACAAAGGGAAATATTTTGTTAGAACAGATATATAATACCGAAAAACACAGTTCAGGCTTTTCCCTTTGATTGGGTCACTCATTCCATAAAGCAAATAAATTATGTTTTGAATATGTATTTAATCCACTACAGGAAGTTCTTTTCTTCCCTCTAAAATGACTGAAAATTCTTGGTTGTTTAAGGTATTATTACTGTTATTTGCTAAGTGATGTATGAAACAGGTTTTTTTTTTTTAAATCATAATTTATTATTGAATAATGATGATGATTGCTCTGTATACCTGCTTCTTCTGTAGAAATTTGCAATACGCTGGAGGGCAAACTGTATCCTATTTTATTTTTTGCCAGCACTCTGACGTCATAATGTGTATACTGCGTCGAGTTAGTAAACAGACAAGACATTGGATTTAAAACGCTGAAACATGTGCAGTTGATCCAAGATCCTTTAGGCTCAGTCATTTTTATCTGAGGTACATAGAGGGTAACTGGATCTCCGAGTGCCTCTCGCGTTGGGGGACTCCAAGATACGTTGATGATGTTGCACTGTCCAAGGATTGGCTGATGCAAGATTGGTTCATACGGCACATCTGTAAGTATCGTAGATATGAAAACAACACTCAACGCTGGGATAAATGTGTAAAAGGTATGTGAAAAGAATGATCACCTTGTAGCTGTCATTACTTTACTTCCTTTGCGAAAAAAGTCAATATATATTTCATCAAAATATATGGCCAGTGATATAAATAAGTAGATTATAACTCTATAAAATACCGGTAATTTCCTCTTCATTAAAGTAATAGTCAAAAAAAATCAGAAGAAAAAAATTTTCTGAGCGATTATAGGCTCCTTGTTTGACTTTATTAAATAGGACATATTTACCAGCATTGTAAGGCCAGATATCCACGAGTAAATCTAAAACAAACAGCAATCAACCATTCAAGAGATTGATCTCGCGCAATTGCCTCGGAGACATGTATTACCCAGCAACACAGATTTTGAACCATGTGATGTGAAGGGCTTTTATTTGATTTGCACCATGGCGAAAATTTGAAATGCAGACCTTGATTTCATATTTAGCACAATAATGTCAGTACCTTGTGCTGTTCTTGGTTCCCACGCTTGGCTGCTTTCGCTTCGTCCCAGTTTGTTCCAAGCAGCAATTATGACTTCATATTTCTTGCTGTATTTAAGATGCAGTTCATAACTTGTTATTCCCGAAACGTTTAATTGCTTCCAACCATTGACACTTGGTTCTGTCTCTCTGTAGCAAATGGAGTACATGGTAATGTTGCAATGATAGTGTTCAGGAGAAGTCCACTTCACGGAAGCATTTCTTCCAGAAATTGTAGAATTGTCGTACAAAATCTTAGGTGAATCAGGTGGACCTGTAACCCAGTTGAACATACTAGCTTGATTTATGAGAGAAAAAGCACTAAAAAACTCCAAATGCAGCTTTGCTACACTTATAAAACTACTTCGAAGAGATTGTTCAAGTTATTTTATAAACTATCCGAGAGTCCGGATAGCCGAAACTATCAATATTAATGAGCCAAAATAAAATTGCATGAGAATCATGCAATCAATATTACGCAAGAATTAAAGAAACTTTTAAATCTTTGGCATCATTGCCAAAATTTTCCACTAAGTGTTTATTAAAAAAAGTTCTACAGGAACGACGTTTTGACTTAAATCAGTGTGTTTAAAGCTGCTAAAGCGTGTGCACGTCGCTAATTCTATAATTGTTCGAAGCTGCACTCATGGAATAGCATCATGATTGTTTCACTGTATCTACTCTGTTTGGTGGATTTCGATCACCAAGAAGAAAGACGTATCTCAACACGTGATTTTTTGTGATAATTCTATGTACGTCTGAGATCGCCAATCAGTGAAATAATTCTATAGTTCAACAACCATGATGCATGTAGATAAGTGGCTTGGAAGATTACAAAAACACTCATATAAAGACCAAGGGTAATGCAGCTACGTTGAGGGCATTTCTACAGTTTCTCGGAAAATGAAAAAAAAATAGGGATTTACTTTTTACTACCAACAGGATTAGACAGCAGGTTAGTTCTAAAAGAAAATTTTCGCTCTAATATTATTAAGCCCTATCGCTCACTTAATTACTTTCCATTGAAGCTCAGCTTTTTCCTTTTGACTCTTCACTTTTCCCATCACTAGGTTATAATCTCCTAATATATATTTCAATCTTTAATGAAGTTGACCTGTTCCTGTTAGTTTGTCAGAGAAACAAAATAATGTATGGTTGCTTGAAGATGCGGAATTCCTCCTCTCAGGTTGAATTTGATAACTCCCTCATTTACGAGATACCTAATTAATTAAAAAACTCGTAGAGTGTATCCATGTGTACGCGCAATCATGTATTACCCTCTATTGTTGTCATCAAAGCACTTGACGACAATGTGCAAGACTTTTTTTTTCTAGTGAAACGCATATACAAATGACTACAAGGTTGTTTTTAAAATGACCTCCATGCACAATGGCCAGATCTTGTTATCATTATCTGATAGATATCAGCTTAAATCATGCGACCTGCTTTTAAAAGCATGCAAGGTATTGATTGTATAAAATTATATAATTGTATAAAAAAAGAACTGAATGACTCTACCGTGCAAATTACTGTTTACGAAAGCATTTGCATCCTTTGGAAAGGATTTTTAAACGGTTGCTTGAAAGCTCAAATTCGATAAATTTATCTAGATCTGTTAATTATACACTTAACCACAAATAATGATTCATTAACTAGGAGAAAGAATGAATCGCCATACCAGATCACTTCTTGTTTTACCCGCAGTAATTGTATTACTTACCTATTATTTCTGTCGTAAATGTTCGGTTCGCCCAGTGACTAGGCCCTTTCTGGTTGACGGCTCTTACGCGAATATCATAGGTATTCTTACTCAGTAAACCATCGAACGAACAGGAATAATTAAAATTTGAAAGATCATACGTGCAATTATTCCAGTTCAGGCTATTCCTATTTCTAATCTGCGCTTCGAAACCAGTTATTGGACCTCCACCAGAATCTGAAGTTGATCTATTCCACAAAACTTCTACAATATCACATTGCTTTCTTTGGATATCTGTTATCGACGGTGTAAACGGGAAACCTAACAACACATTCATGATTAATTAAAAACTAACATACAATAACTCATTTCTAAATGCATAAGAATCGTCAATGTGCATTGCTTTTTCTGGTCTTTTGATATTGTGCCCCGATCAAAGCAACCTCTACTTCACACATATCGGATAAGGGATGATTTTATGAAGGAGACACACAGAAAGTTCTTCGTGTATGTCCACTCCACGCTATCACTCTTTCCTTTGCCACGCTTCGTAGATGTTAAGTTTAAACTTCTCTTTTCTTCACTTTAAAATGATATATTGATGATGCCCCTGGGATGATACCGCCATGTCTTATGTGTGCATTTATTTAAAACAACAACAACAACAACAACAACAACAACAACAACATATGAACAAGAATAAAAACAGCTAATAGGCCATTTGCAGTTGTGTACTTCGTTGCCAAGCCTTTGATTTGGACTGAAAGTGATCCTGTTGTAATAGAGACCAGTATCTACTTAGCATGACAACAAAGTAATTTGCACTCGAAAAAGCTCGAAAAGCAGCAAGGTTTATATCATAAGAACAAAGTCAATCTTAGCCTCACTCCTGTTCAAAGGCTTGGCAACCAAGCACACAACTGTAAAAAGGACCATCCTGTTTGGTGAGAAATTTAATTTTGATGGAGCATTTTCCATGGTGTATACCGATGAAATCCGTATCTTTACCTTCTTCGGTAAGTACTGATAACACAGAGCTTTCATTGAAGTCGTTATGTCCCCTTTGATTCCAGGCCATAACCATGATTTCATATCTCTGGGCACAATCCAACAAGAGACGATATTTGTTTGCCCCTTTGAGGCTTTTCACGGCCCACACGCTGCTATTGGCCGACATCCTTCCTGTAGTTGATTCCCTATAGTAAATCTCGTACTTAGTGATTGGGCAGCTTTGGTTCACGGCTGTATTCCACAACAGGTTGGCACTGCAGCCAAACGGTTCCGCTTTGACCTTCAACGCGGCTGGTACATCTGTAATACAATTTGTAGAGGTAAAAACATGATTTTGAACGCAATTTGTTGTCAATAAGCACGAGCCCGTAGGAAAAGTGCAATTTACGGTCTTTGAAGCGCTTATTTACACAAAATTGCACTAAAAATCATGTTGTTAATTGTTACTAATTTACATAAAAAATGCATCCCAGAAAGTCAAGACGGACAAAATTTTTGGCAGCGCGCTATTTGTAATTTGCATTCATGTTACAGCATTCCACTTGTGTTACAGGAAAAAAGCACTCCAGTGTTATAAGCAAATCAGACGCGCGTAATTTTCTTTATGTATATTATTAACAAGGTTATATGCATATTAAAGACACAGTTGTCGCACGTGGCACCATTATTGTTGTAAATGCTTCATAGGCAGGTTACATCTAGTCCCAACGGCGATTTCAGTCAGAGAGACTTTTATCAAATATCAAATTATAAAAACTATCGCCTTCAGAAGATGAATATGTCTTGGTAAGGATATTTTCAATGGTTTCATTTCGATCTTACCTGCGGCCGTCGTTAGTTGTTCTCTTGCCCAAAGACCAAATCCGTTTGAATCTCTTGCTCGAACACTCAGTTCATAAACTGCATTGATCTCGAGTCCGTCAAATTCGTGGGAAAAAACTTCGTCGGAGAAATTAGATATGTGCTTGGATTTTCCATTGACTGATCTCAAAGTAACTTGGTAACCATTCACTTTACTCTCGATCAGAAGTGGACGTTTCCACTGCAGCTTTATAGCGCGTCCACACTTATAAGAATCCGCCCTGACAATTTGGGGTGGTGGTAGCTCTGAAAAATTCAACAAACCACTTAACGATGACGAGGAGATCAATATAAGAAGTAAAACTAACAACACATTGACCAGTTGAACAATTCACATCTAAATAGCATCATATACAATGATGATACTGACAATTAAAATAAAGCTTTCGATGGCACTTGTTCCGAGTTCCGCTGTCACCCAGGTTTCTTCAAAGTAATGAAGTGGAGACTGCTAAAGTCTCTCGAGAATGTAATGGTGTTAATAATAATAACATAATAATAACTTTATTGATATAGCGCTCGTATCCCCTGCTCAAGACGCTTTACAATCATACGAAATCATACAATATTTATAAAAATTTACAAATTTACAACCATATCCTATTATATGATACTTAAAAATAGCTAAAATTCATACTTATTAAAAAAGAAAAACAAAACTTAAGCCAGCCAACTCTCATTATATGATACTTAAACAAAGCTAAAATTCACAATGATTAAAAGAGAAAATTAACTTAAAAATCATCAAAATAATCGAAAGCTTACCAAAGGAATGAAAAGATATTTCTCTTTCTGCAAATGTGGTATTAGACTGTAGTATTAAACAGGTGTATTGTCCAAAATCCTCACTGGAAATGTTTGTTATACAAAGAATTGTAGATCCTCTAAACAGCTGACATACGTTGGGAGACTGAGTATCATTGGACACTTTGTGCCTTGCCGTGTCTTTTATTTCCCGGCCTTGGAACTTCCATTGCCAGTGGTAAGAAGGCAGCTGCTGATAATCCAGACCGTCAACTCGACATCTTAATGTAACACTTGAGTTTGATCGAAATGCCTTGTAACTTGCAGTTAGCGTAATAACAACTGGTGGGCCTTTGAAACACAACTCATATATTACTGGTTGCGTCTGAAGTAAGATTGATTTTCCCTAGAACTATCTGCTCTGATTCTGCACAAGCTGTTTATTAGCCTTTAATCATCCACGTGCAAATAGGATGGGCATCAATGGAACAAGTAAGGCATTTTTTTTAACTGAGTTTCTTAAAACAAACTAACTAATGCTGAATTCCTTCTCATAAATGATGGAGCTCCCTCTCTGACACTCTTCAACTGTACTCTTGCTGGATCAGGACAGTCATGCGTACTTGGAGTCAATGCAGGAAAATGGAAGTGTTTTGCAGCTGGTAAGCAGCTTTTGTGGAGGTGTAAAACAATAGAAACTGAGAGGGGGTTATGCAAGGAAAAAGTGTTAAATGTATAGAGCTCTAATGCTATTTTTGTCCTTACTCAACTTATTATTACAAGTATTCAAAATACGAAATAGTCCCTTACATTTGATTGATACTTCAGTATTACGCCTTGTTACTTTGAACTTGTTTTCAGCTTCGCAGGTAAATTCTCCAACATGCTGAGGCTTTACCTCAGAAAAGTGAAGCGACAGAGTTATTGATTCTTCGGCAACTGATTCACTGAAATAAACCGTTTCGTTAAGGTCCCCATCTTTAACTTGCTTGCCGTTCATCAGCCACTTGACTGTTGGAGGGGGCCAGCCTGATGCAACACAACGTAATTCAGCTTTTCTTCCGGCGAAAAACCAGTTTTGATGCTTCCTAAAACGAACTGAAGGATTATCTGCCGAAAAAATCACCCAACTGTTTTAGAACAAGTCTTCAATGGAAAAGTCGTTGCTTAAACAGTAGCAACAAATCTTTTTATGATTGAAATGTAGCGTGACACCCTGGTAAAAAATCTAAGTCCCACACCGTAAGACCTGAGGATTCTTTTGATAGAAAGCATCCCCCCCAAAGAATGAAATATCACATAATTCCATCTAACTTTCCAACTGGATGCTTTTTTGGCGAAGAAAGGATAAAAAAATCGTTCATCGTATAGGAATCGAGATCCTTTAATTCACGAACAACAATGGTAACATCAGGAGCCACGGTAATTTCTGTTTCATCAACAGTCGTGGCATATTGAAGCTTAACACTTTGATTAGTTAGCTTTTTAAAGAATATACATTTATACCTACCCCGGCCTGGAAAGAGATTAACGCAATAACATAGCTTTAAAGCAAATACAGAGATGAATTGTATTAGTTTTAGTTAAATTTTTTTTCCAGCTTACCAATGGCTTGAAGAATCATTTTAACCAGATGTTCAACATTATCCTGTAAAGTGTATAAGCTCCTCTCAACAATTAAGTCTTCTTTTCTCTCTGTAATCGTCTCCAGCATATCTGGAACATATTCACCAAATGAGACGGCAAAAATTCGAACACCTTTTTGTCTTAGTGTTTTCACAGGTGCAGGAGGTGAGTTTGAAAGACTCTCAATAATAAACCCTTTGGAAAAAAAAATTGTAATCTTAGATACGTTCTGCTCAGGATTCTTGAAAACTTCACTCGATACCGCATTCAAAGGTAAGTTCAAGTTGGCAAATGGCCAACCATATTCATGAAGTGGAAAACCCTCTCCATTTTGTATAAATTGATTCAAATCAGATATAAAAAGAACACGGCCACTGTTTGATGAAACTAATGAGATAGAGAGCTTAGTAACGTTTGGGGCAATTCTTCCCACAATTTTCATAATAATATCTTTTTGTAGCAGGTATTCTTCTTGAAATAAACCTCCACTGTCATCCACGACGATTGCTATATCTGCTCTATCAGCGTAGTAGCTATCTTCTGCAAACAATAAGAAAAAGAGTATATGTATTTTGGCTCGCTGAATTGTGCAGTTGGAGTTAAACATCTCTTCAAAGATTTGGACAGAAAAGGAAGATATCTTAATGATAGCATAAAATGTACCATAAAGATGGGTAAATGAAATAGGCATTATATATACCGAAGAAGAGACTTGAGAGCTGTATCCAGTCGGCAAATTGGGCAAAGAGAATAAATGGGTGAATTTATGTATGAATGAAGTAAGTAATGGACGAACGAAATTTTCGGTGGTCTTTAGTAAAAAAATCCAGATGATTTCCGAACCATTCGGAAAAATATGTTTAGACTGAAATAAAGCGACTTTGTTTATTCCTTAAATACAAAAATATTGTGTCTTAACAAATCACTTTCTCCCACAGGCTGGTTATGATGCTTTTTTTTTACCTGCAGCCGAAGATGGAAGTTGAGAACAAAGAAAGCACAACAGAATGGTGATAAAAACTGCCTCCACCTTGACCAAGGAAATCATCCTGAAACGAAAATAATTTTAAAATCAGTTTTCTGTCAAAAGCACGGCGGATGGTACTCCCTCCCTCGGTTTACGTTCGATTTCTATTTCTTGAAAACATTGTAGCTTTAACAGGTGATGTCTTCAAGTATCAATATTCACATGATTTTGAGTTTAATTTGATATAGATAAGCAAGAGGACAATTTTTAGACTAACCGGAAAAATGAAATAAGCCCGAAAGGCACTGAAATACGACTTGACATGTAGTCTAAACAAATTAAGAAATTCAATGATCAGTGATGGTAAACGTCGGTATCACCCATGATTATGAAACCTTTACGCCTACAAGAACTCGACTGGCGTTTTTAAACCTCAGGTGCACGCTTTGAGTGCCAAAATTGAAAGAAACCTGGCAGTTGTTAAATATATTCATCATGGTCTGCTATTGAAACGACAATATTGTTGCAGTGGCTGAACTTATGAAGAAATTCAGAGACTTCAAACACAAATTTGCAGGTGGGAGTATGTTTTTTTTCGACTATGAGATCGTCTGTAATTTGGGGCAAATTCACAGTTGTCGAGATGTTGGAAACTGATATTGGATTCTACTTAGTTAAGCGCTTGCATAATTTCTTTTTCTGATATAGTAAGATAGAGGTGCTCCTGCTCATCGGCTTCATCGTAGTCGTCGTGGGACTTAAAGCTTCTATGATTTGGGACTTTGACGACACCTGAGAACCCAGCATTTGCATTCTTCAGCTTGCTGACAGTTGTTTTACCTGCTGTATGATTCGCGAACTTTTTCTCGATTTGTCATTCAAGGCTAGTACGCACCACAGTCGTTTCATCGTAATGTTCATGGTATTAACGCCCATAGGTTGAAGTTGTTATTCAAGTTTAGGTTCCGTTTGGCACTTAGGTGGAAAGGACCCACTTATTTTATACCTATTGGCTGCTATTGGCCTCGTTCAACAAATTGTTTGATGAGAGCAATTGGACACCTTTTTCCACCAACTGCTAGCATTGGTGGCTGGAAATTGAAGAGTTCACTTCTGTACTAATGTACGGAGGGCCAATCAGACCTCAGGACTACGGACTGGCTCAGAAAGGAGCCGGTCATGTTGTTTTGTTTATCGATCCGAACTTTCTCCTGACTTCATGGAACATTATTTGCGTATATTTTCATGTAAGTACGCCTGTTACTGGTAGCCAGCTCTCAGGACATTGTTCGGTCCTCGCTGGATTATTTAGTCCGTTAATGCCATCGTAATCGTACCTGAGTATTTATTTATAGCGGGTAATTTAGGGTTAACAACTGAGTTGAGAACGTAAATAAGCGACCATCGCTCTGACGAAGGGCTAACGCTCCAAACGTCAGCCTTTTTACTCTTTAAAGAGGCCAATTTACGTTTTCAACTCAGTTGTTAACACTAAATTACCTGCTATACTCTCCCAACGACGCAGCACCACAGTTTCTCTAGAAACTTACCCCCTTTACTTATTTATTTATAGGACGCCTTCATCGCGTTAGATCATTAAACAAATCGAGACAAGAAGGTTTTTTCTTCAGAAATCTGTATTCTTGCTCCGCCGCCATTCTGTCTCGTCTTTGTTGAACCTTCCGTAACATGTATGAACTTCACGCTTTCGTCCTTTTGTATTGTCAAAAATCTCCCTTTTTCGTACTTTAACTTTCTTGACGGCCGTTTAGTCCAAAAATCACTACATAAAGGAACTAGTAGTGCGTCCGAAGCTTTGAAACCCAATTTTTTTGCCCTCCATAGTCCTTCCTTTTCTTTTTCAGTTAACTTCACCCCTTTTTTGGATATTCACCCATGCCGAACCGACAAAGCTGCCTAGCTTCTCCTTATAATACTTGCTTGGAGGTGTGAAACTCTCTTGTTTTATCCTTCATTTTAAAGTCGATCAAGAGAAACTATCATCACTCTTAAGTTTTCTGGCTCGTAGTCGTCACCATTTTTGGCTTTATCTTTAGTGTCTTTATCTCTGGCTCGCTTTCCTTGATTCCTTTGTCGACATTCTCCTCTTCAAACTTCGTTTTCCCCTCAGCCAGTCAAAAAAATATGTTATTTTAATTGTTTGGGTTTCTGAATAATTTATTAGCTGTTTCCCTCGCAAATCCAAATCGTTGTTGCTGAAGATCCCGACCATTCTTTCTCGAATTTCCGCCAAAATGTTGCTATAGAAACAGCTCTCATCTGATTGGCTCCTGTTTTCTTGTATTGTCTTTAGGCCAATGAGAGTCCTTAAATAATTTGCACTAGTATTACAAATTTTTCACTTATGGTACATGAGAACTTCTCCTTTTCTAACCAATCAGAACTGAATAGAATTTCATATATACAGCCAATTGAGCATAGCGTATTACTTCGGTCCGGGTCGCACTAGAACATATTTTGTTTCTTTCAGCGGAAAAATCTGTCAACAAGTTCGACCACCAATTTTAAAAACTCCCCAAATTTTTGCGGATAGCCAAAATTTCGCCAATCTACAAAGGAGCTAATGTCCTGCCTTGAAGGCTTCCAAATTTTGGAAAACCAAACAATCTTGTTTTTTTAACCATTAAGCTGTCATCGTACGCAGGACATGTCTAGATAACATTTAAGCGGGAAAAATACACAGTAGTCCGCTAGTGTTGTTTTGCGCACGCGATGGCACGACACGATTTTTTTCTTTGTCCATCTGATCCTCAGTTTTCGTTTGAGGGTAACGAGGAATTTGAGGTTTTTATTCGAATGTCTGACTCTTACCGTGGGCCCTTCCACTGGCGGTAATTTGGAAAACAACCGGCTTCATACGAACGTTTCTGCGCCCTCAAAATTAAATACCCAATATGTGAGGGCTGTCAGCTTTTCATATACATATTTACAGAGAGTATGCATACGAGTCAGTGCGTTTACTGCATCAACAGTTGTTTGCTTGCTGTATTTTGAGCCTTTCAGAGTTTCTGTAATTGAGCTGTCAGTTTTTCAACTACGTATTTACAAAGGGTATGCATAAGAGTCAGTGCGTTTATTACATTATTAGTTGTTCGCTCGTTAAATTTTGAGCCTTTCAGACCTTCTGTAATTTTGCTTTCGTAATTCGAGCGAGAATTTTTATTTATCTTTCATTAGAGGGAGATTGGTTTGTGATTGACGTATGTGTCAATCAATGAAGTTTAGTTAAAGTTCGATGCGACCGCCGCCAAAATTTTTGCCAGTTTTTGGCTCGCGAAAGATTGGGAAATATTTGAATTTGCTTCACGAAGACGTGACGCCTTTAAAAAGTTCCTTTTTCGTAACCTCAAATGGAATTTATGCCTCCCTGAACAAAAGTTCTGCAGAACCATTTTTTCTTGCGGCTCTGAAAATAAACCATAGTAAAATTTTCGACATTTCTTTTCGATATGACTTTGTTTGAAATGACAAACCAACATATTTTAACATTTTGTATCATACAAGGTTGCTAAAGCATACGTCATTTGTAAGTCACTATCCACGGTAACTTTCGACGAATATCTACCAAATTTTCGGTGAATAAGCCTTAATAAAACTGCTCTAGGTGTATTGTACGTAAATCATGAGTAATTTTCGTGCAATATAACTTCCACCGATAAAGAGTTATTCAAAACCTAAATATCTAGGCTTTGTTTACGCAGAAATGACTGTGTTCTAAATTTCTCTCAATTTCTCTGACGATGATGGGATAATAGATGGCCTTGAAGAGTTGTAATCTTTCCAAGAATGTTATGAATTTTTTTGTTAGGATAATATAATCGGAAAATGCTTCACTGACTCAAGTTAGTGTCAAAAAATTAATGCTTGATGCACGTCCGATCTCGAATTAGCTCCTTTACATTCGCCCTGCCTCGCAAAGAAGATCAGTCCTTGTAGATTCCTTTCCAATATGCTGCGTTCCATTCGTCGTTTGTTTAAATTCTATAACCACTCAACAACGATTAAACAGGGCAGAGAAATTTCTCTTCAACCTTCCTTAACTCAACTTGCAATTTTTTCAAAAGTACTCGAAAGGAAATTAGTGACAATTTACATTTAAAATAATTATTTTTTGTACATTTTCTCTGACCAAGATTATTCATTAAAGGTGTTCTACTTACTTCAGTTTAAAGGCGTGGACAAGCTGATGTTTCTTATTTCCTGGCTCACGTATTCCATGTATTCGAGTCATACATGTATTTGAAGGCATCATCAGCTCTTAGGGGACACAGGAAGTCTAGGCAACATGATCCAAAGTGAAATATTTTTCATTTTGCGGTACTCACGCTGTGATGTGCTGGTCTAAATTTTAGACAGATGGTGCAAGTGATTAAGAAGGTTTCTCTGTAATGTCGTACAAGTATAGAGATGGCGTACAAATTCTTATCGATCTCTGGGCTGTACATCACTGACATATTTCTCTCAAGTATTTTAACTCAGCAGTAGGCAGCGTATACGTGAGGTTCTTAGGACATGTCCTTACCTAATTAACATGTCAAATTATTCCACAATGAAGGGGAGTGAATTCAGTGTCAAATTTCAAATGCATCGAACGTGATATGTAAATGTTCGGTAAGATTATTAACGTTAATTTCTTGTGGTTTTTCGTAGTTATATATCAAAAGACTACATCTAGTTTTAAATTTACGAGAAAGGGCTAGCTAATCAATCAAATTACCTTCGCGATAATTTTTAAACAAGTTAAAGTAAAGCTTTATTGTCATATCTACATCTTTGCTTTGATAGCTAGTTAATACAAGGAGAAAAAAATTCTTAATGAAAAAATAAGTGTTTTTTTCAAAACTTTCAAATTTGCTTTGCTAAAAAAAGGGTAAAATCTCCACTTTTCTTTTCTGAAACAGAGATGGGGAATCCCGGCAGAAAATTGTTCGATCTTCCATTTTCAAGTTGTCTTTGTCTTCGCACGTTATTCTGAAGAAATGAATGGCGCCGTTTGAGATGGTAACCGCGTCAAGTCTTTCGCAAAATTCATGAGTGTTTTACTCAATCTTTCACTTAGGCGTCGTCGTCATGTCTACGTACAGCTTCTTAATTGGCTGGCTTATAGAAATTGTTTTTTAAGTTCATAAAGCTAGGCGTTGGTGAAACTTTATGTTCTGTGACCCTCTAACAGAGCTTTTAGCTTTCTGAATTAGCTCCGTGTGTAAGAAAATATGATTTCGTTTCTTCTCGATCAAGCACGTTATTCTGAAGAAAGGAATGGCGCCGTTTGATATGGTAACCGCGTCAAGTCTTTCGCAAAATTCATGAGTGTTTTTACTCAATCTTTCACTTAGGCGTCGTCGTCATGTCTACGTACAGCTTCTTAATTGGCTGGCTTATAGAAATTGTTTTTTAAGTTCATAAAGCTAGGCGTTGGTGAAACTTTATGTTCTGTGACCCTCTAGCAGAGCTTTTAGCTTTCTGAATTAACTCCGTGTGTAAGAAAATATGATTTTCTTCTCGATCAAGATGGAAATAATGAGCTCTGGGCTATAACGTGCAGAGGCCTGATCAACGTAAAACAAAGGAAGTGAAAACCTTGCGGAATGCTTCAAGATGCTGAATAGTCAGAGAGAGAGGACTTTGAAAACGACGCATTCGATCATGAGGATACAAAACTCTAATTTTAAAGCAAGAATGGCATCGTCTACTTAACAATTATTATTGAAAAGTAACCATGGACTGGTACTCCTTAGTAACCGAAGTGTACGCGATGCATCATATAAACTAAAAATAATAAGATGATAGATAAACGAATAATTATTTCCATGTTAAAAGTGGTTCATATTTGTGGGACGTTTTAAAACTCCATTAAAACGTACATCCTACGGATCCTTCATCAATAGATTTACAGCTTTGTTTTTCCTCTGGCTAGGCAATTTTTCCCGACTCCCGTTAACTCGAACTCACGATAAATTGAGCCCCTATCAATTTGCTCGGAGAGTTGACTTATTGCGATTCGATCATATAAGGTTTTAAAGCAGCAAAGATTCGTTTATTGCTTTTCAGTTTTCAAAGATTTGCACAGTAGGCAATGCAATTTAAACTGAAAACAACGGAACATGCATATTTATGCTAACATTTCTGCAACTATTACATTAACTAACGGGGTTGTTATCTCTTTTCATATCATAGTTGACAGAGTATTTAGAATGAGGAATTTAATTCTCTAAAACAAATAAAAAAGAGAAGGTAAAGCAAACCCTCTCTTTCGAATAAACGAACATCAGTGTATACATCTGTTTGCCGAAAGTTTATCGGAAAAAAAGACTTAGTGCACGCGAAAATCTCAAAAGTTAATCTGGGTATTCGGTAATCAATAAATTTCAATAAGTGAAAAAAATACGTATTGAGTAGAGGATTAATGAAAAGGTAATAAATACCGACATACAAGTGAGTACAAAAGGAAAAAACCATAAACGTTGGTTACGTAGTAAAGTCACTTCGAATTCGATCTCGTTGAGTTTGCATCGTTTCCGTCGTTCATTAAGGTCAGTTCGTTCTTTTGTGCGTTTTCATCAAGTTTAAAATTAAAAGTCAGTGATGTCAACAAAATGAACTCATTAAACCCGCCATGCTTCTTCCCTACGGTGATGTTTTCTCAGATTACACTGAAATCCTGAATCTCTCTTCTCCTGTTCAACTCGACATCTTACTCGTGTGCTATCGAGTTAAACACTCGAAGAGGAATTCCATGTAAACGCACGCCCATGTGTTATTCTCTTTATATCTTTCGTTAATTAGAAAATGCTGGTGAAGAGCAGAGAAGGCAATTCCTAGATGAAATAGACCTGATGAAGCTAGTTGGTAAACAATGGAATGTTTTAAGTTTCCTCGGCTGTTGGACTACGACCGAACCTTTTTTCCTTCTTATCGAGTACGTGGTTCAAGGTGACTTGCTTCATTGGCATAAACCTTATTCGGGTGACACATGCTCAGTGTTAAGTCACGTTGTTTAAGGTCGCACTAATCGTGTACATGCTACATTCTATTCATCAAGTGTTTTCATACTAAAACCATTCCACAACGATTAAACAGGGCAAAGAAATTTCTCTTCAACCTCGGTCAAACTTTTCCTGAACTCAACTTGCAATTTTTTCTAAAGCACTCTGTAGATGTTTCTTCTTAAGCTAGAGTTGAAAACTCGATTCCCGGGTTGATACACGCGCATGCGATAAACAACAAACCAAAATAGGATCCTTTTTTTCTTTATTCCTTTTCCTATTCCCTGGGGCGTTATTATATCGAAGTGGTCAACTGAAATTATTTTGTAAAGAAATCACCTAAGTATTGTGATCATAGCTTAAGAATAATCTCGATTTTGGAAACGAGCACGTGGTAATTAAAAGAATCAAAAGAAAGGTAAAAAACGAGCGATAAGTTTCGCTTTGAGTAACGACTACGAGCTAGATAACATAATCACAAAACAAGTTATTGCTTACCAACGTTTGGGGGTCTTGATTACTTTATCGAGGATTACAGTCTAACTTGTCTTCTATTCAAAAACGATCTTGATCACTCCGGGTCTTATCTTGAACTGAAACTCTAACTATAATTTTCTGTGTAAAAGAACTAATCACGGGAGCATCAACCTAACCAGAAAATATTTCGTAGCTTTTCTCGGAAGCGGTAACACTTAGCTTCAACGGAAGCAGCTGCACACTCGAAAGAAGGCGAGTTACAGTTTACATTCAAAAGAATAAATTGTTTTTTGTGCATTTTCCTTAACTTTATTAAAGGTTTTCTACTTACTGCAGTTTAAAGGCGTGGACAAGCTGATGTTTCTTATTTCCTGGCTCACGTATTCCATGTATTCGAGTCATGCATGTATTTGAAGGCATCATCAGCTCTTAGGGGACACAGGTAGTCTAGGCAACATGATCCACAACGAAACATTTTTCATCTTTGCGGTACTTACGCTGTGATGTGCCGGTCTAAATTTTAGACAGATGGTGCAAGTGATTTAGACGGTTTCTCTGTAATGTCGAGCAAGTACAGTGATGCTGTACAAATTCTTATCAACCTCTGGCCTGCACACCACTGAGATATTTCTCCCAAGTATTTTTACTCAATGTTAGGCGGCGTATACACGAAGCTTTTAGATCATGTCCTCACCTGATGTGTCCAATTTTCTGTAACGAACGAAAGTGAATTTGGTGTCAAATTTCAAAGGCAACACGCCAATTATGGAAAAGTAATATGTAACTGCTCGTTAAAAATCGAAATTAACGTAAATTTCTTGGAGTTTTTAGTAATTACATATCAAAAGACTACATCTTGTTTTAAATTCGCTAGATAGGCCCAGCTAATCAATCAAATGAGCTTCGCGTTCAAGGCATATTCATTAAACAAAGCAATAACTTTTAAACAATTAAACGTAAAGCTCTATTATCATATCTACATCTTTTTATTGATAGCAAGATTATATGTGGAGAAAATAAAAATTATGTGAACAAATTAGTGATTGTGCACCTGCCGCATAAAATTTTGTTCAATTTTCAAAGTTTCTTTGTAAAACAAAAGCGTACTTCTGGGTTAGTATAGCTGGCACGTTTGCCAATGCTTTTTTCCTTTCTCGTGATGCAAATTCTTTATACCATTGTGGCACAGAGATCTCTAGTCGTGCCGAAAGATCTCCTGTCATGTAGAATGTTCCAGACTTTAACTCTCGAAAAGCTGTCAATATTACTCAGTGTTGCACGTTACAAGTGACTACTGAAGCGATCCCGATAACATATTGGTTTTTTGAACTTAATAAGAGTAGAGCAAGCCAATTTACAACGAAAGCGTAAAATCTCCAATTTTTTTTGAAATCAGAGATGGGGAACCCCGGCAGAAAATTGTTCGATCTTCCATTTTCAAGTTGACTTTGTCTTCGCACGTTATTCTGAAGAAAGGAATGGCGCTGTTTGAGATGGTAAACGCGTCAAGCCTCTCGCAATATTCATGAGTGTTTTATTCAATCTTTCACTTAAGCGTTATCGTCATGTCCACGTACAGCTTCTTAATTGGCTGGTTTGTAAAAATCGTTTTTCGAGTTCATAAAGCTAGGTGTTGGTCAAACTTTGTGCTCTGTTGATCCTCTAGCGGAGGACAGTTGGCACGTTTGCCGATGCTTTTTCCCTTTCTCGTGATGGAAATTCTTTACACCATTGTGGCACAGAGATCTCTAGTCGTACCGAAAGATCTCTTGTCATGTAGAATGTTCCAGACTTTTACTCTCGATAAGCTGCCAATTTTGCTCTTTGTCCGACTACAAGTGACTACCGAAGCGAATTGTGACTAATAATTGTTCAGCAGACTTAAATTACGTCAGGCAAGAGTGACTTTCTCAATTCTATCACATAAACATGCGAATTAATCTTTCTCCTTTCGAGGAATCGACAGCACCGGTTTAACCGGTGCACTTCTGACTTTTGAAGCACACCAT